TAATGTTTAAAAATATTGTTTGTGCCCTATGCTCCACTATTAGAAACTAAGAAGAAGAACAAACACTGTGGTATTCGTAACACTGTAGGCAATCGCCAGGTTAAAGAGCTGGGGCTGTGGTTCAACTCTCTAATAGAACGTGTTGTCTAAAATGTGCTGAATGCTGTCTATGCTCAGAAGCACATGATAGCTTTAGATACACTCTGTGTTCAAATTTAATATGGGCCATGAGAAAACTGGTAGGTCGAGAGTTTCTATCCTCATTCGAATTTAGACATTTTGGCCTTTATTCGAAAGTTGAAGTATCTTTTGCCTAGTTTGCCCGATAGTGCCCAGAACTGTTTTTGTCGCAGATAATCGTGGGTTATTTCGGGTTAATACCTTTACTTTTTTTTCAAAATTAAAAATACTTGCACATCAACTCCTATAGATATTTTTTTCGAATTTTTTTTAATTTTAATTTGTTTATTATTTTAGCGTAGTGCTGTTAGCTGGGACTTTGATTATTTATACTTTCATCTTTCGTTTTAAATGCTGTGCTTTATCTTGTGTTTTTTTAATCTGTAAGGTGAGTTCTGTACTGTCTGCTTGCATGAATAAGGGGGTTTACTTTATAATGATTATAAATTAAAATAAAATTAATTGAAAATAAGAAGTATTTTTTTATTTCAATTTTAAAGAAACGCAAGTAAGCTTATTTCATAATGTCTAGACAATAGCCTTACTCACTTATATTAAATGTTAAAAATTTTTTTTTACTAATAATACAACAGTTTTCACTTTTCTATTAAAATAGAATGTAAGGTGAATATAATGTAAATTCCCTTTATAATAATTTTTTTTTTAGTATTTGATATTACGTTCAGATTTTATATGTGGATAATATAAGCATATAAATTGAATTCTTCAAAATTATTCAATTCGTTTACTAATTTATTTATGCTTTCTGAAAAATTTTTAAATAATTTTTTATAAATTTTTTTTTATATTTGGGACATGCAAATATGTTGTTTTTTTTTCTTTAGATTTTGTGTTCATATTTTTTTTTTTTGGGTTTTTTATTTCATTGGAAATATGTTTCAGTTGATTTGATCGACAGTTGACTTATTAAGTCGAGACAGTCTTGTGGATCAGGCATACATATATATATTTTTTTCTCATGTTTTATATATTTATACATATATTTTCAATATAAATATGTTTGCAAATTTTTTCAACATTATTTAATTTAAAGAATAATTTATTCGACATAAAAATATTTGCTTTTCACCCGCATAATTTTAAGTGCCAAGAACTTTCCCGCTCGTTACTCGTTACTCACTGTTTTATTGAAGTATATAAATATATGCGCCCTTGATATATTGCTCCAGAAATAAATATATTTAGAATAGAATTAAATATATTTTAAAGTAATTAAATTGAATACAAAATCGGTAATCGGTTTGAAATACGCGTACTTTAAACGCAAAAATTTGAATAGAATCACGCTCGCCAGTGTCGGTAGACCGTTCGACGCAAAACTGTTTACTCGTCTTGAAAGCGAAAAAATTTAAAATAGCTCAACCAGAATGAAAATGTTTTAATTTTATTTTTATTTCTCTTTAAATTTAAACATTTTTCTCTTTTATTATTTATTTCGCATTTATTTGTTTGGCTGCAAATGGATGTTGTTATTGCGGTGCGAAAGATGGCGTTAGTAATGGCCGCATTTTTTTCGTCAAGCGTACGCACTGGCATTTTCACGGCAATGTGGCATTTTCTGCGAATGTGTGCAACCGCGTATGTGAATGTGATTGGAATGATTCGAGACTTAAGCTCTTCTGATGTGCGGTTCGAAGAATGCCATTTTTCTTGGAATTCACAAGAATTTATTTTATAAGCTTCGAATTAAGCATTGGGGTCTATTTTAATTTTACTCAAATACAGTGAATTCGGATTAGATGAGATCTTTTCGGGATAGATTTTTTGAAAGTGATGAGAGATTTTAGTTGATGAATATAATTTTGTGGGGTTACTTTGCTTACTCATTAATATATTGAATGATAAATAACTAAACAATGTATAATATCAATATATGGTACTTATATGACTGAAAAGAGCAGCGAAAATTCTTCTGATATAGATCTTGCAATCGTAGCGCATTGTTGTTTTTACACTCATACCTACAGATTTTTTGAAAATGGTGATTAAAACAACATTCTATTATACTTAATCACGTCTTGAAATTATTAAGAAATAGATCAGTATCTGTATATGATTTTCATTAAGCGGAATGCAGTCTTGAACAAAGACATGTTGTTATTAATAGCTTAGGTGGTGTACCATAAGTTTTTGTAATAATATTTTTCAAATAGTTATCAATCCAAGAACATTGGGGTATACCATAAAAAAGAGTTTGTAGTTTTATTTTCTTCATTATTTTTAACAATGCTCCATCAAAGTCAAACTTTTTAAATTTCAGTAGGCTTAAAAAATAATCTCTTAGCATTAAACTAATAATTTTGTAAAAAATATTAATTTATTAAGTAAAGTAAAGTGTCGGGTTATTAACTCCATTTATCCTAATTTGTAAATATCGATACAAAATACCAGGAATATAAACAATACCTTACCGTTTGTACTAGGCTGCAAAACATAATGAAACTATATCTAGTTTCGGAACAGAACAGATTGGAGAGCACCAATCTGTTCTTGCTTTCACTGCAAGTTAAAAACTGAGTAAGGGATCATAAAATTTGAACATAAGATCATAAAATTGGCGGCATGTTGATCATGATACCGACGATATATAATTTAATGTCATATTACCGATCAGAATATAGTTATGGGATACAATTTTCAAAGGGAATAGTACCATCTTCGCTTAAAATAAAAATGATATGAAGATATTGTTTATGATTGTTTGTATACTTGACATCATACTTAAGTCTATAACTCAAAACGCGAATGTATATTTTCGTGATTGACGATCGTTGGATCATTTGCATAACATGATCCTTAGGGATTCCAGTAATACATCACAGCCTTCATCGTTTTTATATATTATTTTTGCAGTATAATTTGTCACAGAGTATAATTTTAGAGATTTATTCCAAAATGATTCTTTAGTCTTCGTTCTAGAAATAATTAATTCACATATTATAAATGTCACCATTGCAAAGTGAATTAACTTTTTTTTTTTATTTTTTCCATTGGCTTCGTTTTTTTCTGACTGCAATTCCAGCATACATATATTATCGGTGCATGGTCATTCAGATCTTGTAGGCATGTGTCCCTAATAGATTATGACCTGTCAGAATTTCTAGGATATAAAAATTAAACGAGAGAAATAGTCGTGATAACATACTATACTCTTAGCTTCAAACTACTCTTAGGTAAAGTTTTTAAATATTAGAGTTATATATAAAAAATTTGTAAATTTTTTTTCATTTTTCATTACACTTGGTAATTTCGTAGTAAGTTTTAATAATTTTAAAATGTTCAGCGGTTGTTCACCGATTGATTGATATTGTAATAAGGCAGATTTTAAACTAAATATATGATGCCTTCGATGATAGTTCTCTTTAAAATATGAGAAGTTTTAGACAAAATATCTATGGTGACTGTCACAGAAGTCATAATATCAATGTACTATATCTAAACATGTGGTTTTATTATTAAATATCCTTTTAATTAGGGTAAGACTCTATATTTGTGCAGTATATATACTTTTTTATGAAACTATAGTAAAAGTAAATTATTTGAATTCAACGTGAGAAATTTTATTTTTATTTAAGAAACTAATTGAAAACAGAATTAGAGATGCATTAAAAATAAGTTATCTCCATAATCTTCATAATATAACATATGGCGTATAGTTAAAAATATTTGTTGACAATTTATATAATAAAATCTGTATAAAAATAATATAATAAATATTATAATGCTTTATGAATAGTTAACGATATTGATAATATTATATTTACAATTAAAAATCTATCTATTATTTACTGAATATTAGTATTTTATTATTCAATATCATTATTATATCGAATAATGTTATTATATAATAATAACAGATGATCTTTTGTTTTGCAAAACAAAAATTGTTAACTTCCCAATTAAAAATTTTAATTATTTTATTTTGGAAAATATACGAATATAAAACTAAAATTGCTTGAGTAAATGACTATAAATATAGCACAGAGGATTATAATTTGGATTGAAGTTTTGCTCAGTTCATCTTAAAATCAATTTAAAATTACAATTCCATACAATAAGCAGACAATGATATTCAAAATTAAATTATAATTTGTATAAAATTAAGTTGAAATTAAATTCGAAGTTCAATATAATGGATTTGTGTACCGGTATTAAAAATACTTCTCATGCCTAAAAGCAAAACGAAATAATAAATTATTGCAACGTTTTGCATAAATAACGGTAACTACAAAAACATATAGAAAATATTTCTATTCAAGCAATCTGACAAGAAAGATTATAATTAAACTTACTATAAATATTTACATAATTATTAATATTATTTGTTGCTGTTTGAAATCTTAGCACTGCCTTATCATCGTGAATATCTAAGTTCTTTCAGTTTCTCAAATTATTTATTAAAATTTATTTTATTGTATATAAACAATACTTTTTAATAATATTTTAACATAATATTTAACAAAAGTTTAGAAAATTATAAAATTATGTAGAACTTCAAAATCTTTTTCAAGTAACGAGTAGTCGTGAGTTACTTTGACAGTTTCAGTTGTGTGTCACTTGGTAATTCTATTCAAATATACATACGGACAAAAAATTGTGATGGAGAAGGCAATCGGCAATCGCGAGCAAACCTCAGGAAACGTACGCATTTTACGAAATTTTAATTTTTTATTTTATTTTCGCGGTGTTATAAAGTGTAAGTTTCAGTATAAATGAATGTAAAAAATAATAAAAAATTTTAAAACAGTATATAACCTCAAATCCTGTATGCATTAAAATAATTGTAAAAAATATTGTTAAATTATGTGATCTGCAATCTTTTGCTATGATGTAACCTCGTGCTTGATAATACACCCATACATGCGTATCGGATATCCATGAATTTTAGTGCAGTGTTTAAATGAAACTTTAAAATTAATAATTGTATTGTTTATCGAGAGGTTATGTTTTTCAGCTGGAGAAATATAAATAAATATTCCAACTTAACCTCATTTTCATTCCTGCATTAAAATTTGATATTTGGAATAAGCAGTGAAATATGCACACAGAAACGTACATATTGCATTAAAGAGCCGACTTCATGTCGTACATTTGTCGGTAGGGCAGTGCCTGATTTGACGTTTAACCCAGTGATGTTTTATGTGTGTGTAGAAAAGAAATAGTAATGCCACCCATCAATTAAATTGCTCAAGTTATTTATATGTGTACATGAATGCCTTAAGAAAGTTGATGCAAATTTTTATTTTTATAAATGAAAATTAATTGAAATGTGTAAAATGACGTATTTGACTCGGTAAAAATATATCAATGAGTTTCAGTGTGTGATCCGGTTACTTTTTATTACCTTTCACATGACATTTCATTGTTGCAATCACATGTTTTTCTTACCCAAATTCATAATTGATTTTGTTTTGATACCTGAATTCATTGAAACTCAGCAAAATGCGGCTACATTAATTAATTTAATTTAAATATAAATATAATAGCCCATATCTTTATCTTATATTAAATAAATGTAGAGTTTTAAATATGGAAGGGCGAGCATATGGCATTAATTGGTTGACAGCAGCGGTAAATGATATAAAAGGTTCCCAACTAATTGCTATGCAACCAGAGGATGCACATTTAATATCAAATGGTGTTGATGAATATATAATAAAAGCTGACGAGCAAGATGAGGCCAATATACAACAAATTGCTGCTGAAAACCTAATTTTCATGGCAAGCGATGGGCAAATGTTAGCAGAATATATAACAGCTAAAGATGAGCAATGCTCGGTTGTTATCAGTCCCGATGATAATAGTGCTTTTGGAGTTGGTACTATAACAGCAGAAGATGGCATAGAAAATCATAGTGATTCTGAAAGTCGTTTTATTGACTTTGGCGATACATCACCACAAATAGTAACCGAAGAAGTAATAACAGATGATTGGGTACAACGTCAAGGAGAAGAATTGTAAATATGCTTCTTTATTCTTATATTTGTTATTAAGTATTAATAATATTTTGTTTCTTTTTTATAGTGTGGAAATACCTGCTGAACAACTTATTGGCTCTGCTTCACAAGTACTTTTAGATATAGAAGTACCTTTACCTACAGCGCAAGATGAATATACAACAATGCGTCCATATCCTTGTGATTTTTGTTCTAGACGTTTTCGTAAAAAAATTACATTAATGAACCACATGGTGACTCATCAAAGCGATCGCTCACTCTTATGTAAATTGTGTAATACACGATTTTTAAAACGAACAGATTTAATTAATCATTTAAAGAGCCACGCATATGATGACGCCACTTCCTATGAGGGTACAAATTGTACGTATACTGTATATTATATCTATTTATAATATTAAGTTTAAAAGAATATTAATATTAATTATAACTTTTAGTTGTGAATTTCACTACCCGAAAGCATGAGAAACAGGAAAATGTTAACGATCATTTTTATAACAATGATTGGGAAAGCCATAGTAACATTGCAATTACAAAAAAAACATTGCCACAATCGCAAAATACAAGCGCTAATAGTTCCTTAATTTCTGCTCCTTTGCGTGGCAGAGTTAGTCGCTTAAAGTTAAGTGATAATAGATATACCTTAACTGAAACGAAGCCGGATCATGGTGGTGACATACAACTTGTTGAGGGTCAAGAATTAGAGCACAGTCCAACAACCAACACTTTAACTACAGACCCGACTGAACATCAATTTCAGTTTCCAATTATAGATGAAAGTAAACCATTTGTTTGTCAACAATGTGGACTGGCTTTCGCACGAGAAAAAGCTTTATTGTCACATACAAAGGTAATAATATAATATAATATAATTGAGATGATGATTGAGTTACATCTTGCTATTATGCATGAGATTTATTCGCTCAACAAAAAATGTTACGACAAACAGAATAAACATGATAACAGCTGATCCTTAAAATCGTTTAAAATTATTTATTATGTTTTAAATTTATTCTTTATCGTTTATCGTTTGATTAAAACTTTTATTTATTTTGCAGAACCATCAAAAAGATACTGCCAACGAGTGTAATCAGTGCAATGAAATATTTTGGGATGCAAACAGTTTGCAGGAACATATGAAAACACATCAATTTGAGGAAAGCAATTCTGAATATGATCCTGCTGATGGTGATTTAACACAGAGTGATTCCGAATCCGAACATGCTTATGGCGAATTCTATTGCAACGAATGTGGCTTGGCTTTTCATCGCAAGAACTTATTGAATCGTCATAAAAAGTTACACGAAGGATCTAATAAAACAAAAATGAATGGAGAAGATGGGAATAAAAGTGAACACCATTGTTGTTGTACTACATGCGGTGAAACGTTTGCTGAAGCTTTAGATCTTCTTGCGCATGCTGAAGTACATGCTCGATATCCACCTTTTAAGTAAGTATATCTTACATATTTATTAAAAATTAATTATTGGATTGAAGAAGGGAGCAATTGTATTAAATTTATGAAAAAAATGTAAATTTAATGAAATGAAAATTGATTTGATGAAAATTTATTATTAAATAGTGTGTTGTTGATAATTTCACGTTGTAGATACAGTTTCTCATTGTTGTTATTAAAGCTTTTGTATCTAAAATTGTGTGTGAAATAATGTGTTATAGATATAAATGACTTATACAGTATAATATATTCATTATATGTTCAGAAAAGATATTTTATGATTGTACATCTCTCAATTGAGATAAGAATATAGCCATAGGCTAAGCACTTACTTGTCACGCATAATGCTTCAATTTCCAATGTGTGTCATAATTGCAACTCTACTCCCCTGAATGTTGTTCATTTGTTTTCGTGCCGCACGAAATCAGGATCTCCGTCTTGATCCTGATTGATTTAAATTTCACGCATCCCCAATCCACAACCACTTCCTAATAAGTGGAAATCTTATTCTCTTGCATACAACTATTGCGCATACATATTCTAAACCATGTATTTGTCATTGATTCCTTTCGTGTTATCTATTTTACAAATCCCTGCGGGTTTTAACAGCAACAACGGAAGCTCTTCTATTTATATATATATTTGCTAAAATAATATATTTAAGAAAATCTATCATTTAAATAAATTTTTTTTGTTTTTATTTGTTTAGATGTCTTCTATGTGGTGAATCATTTATCGAAGAGATCACTATAAAACGTCACATAGAGACGAAACATAGTGGAGAAATGACACAAAACTCCTGCATATTATGTGGAAAAGAATGTCGTGATCGTAAAGCTTTAATGAAACATTCATGGGATCACTCAAGAGAAAAATGTCACTCATGTTCCAAATGTGGCAAGAGTTTTTACAGTAAAGCTCGACTCAGACGGCACATGGCATCACATCGTGATAAAACCGTTTCATGTGATGTATGTCATGAAGAATTTCCCGATGGTCGTACCTTATCTAATCATCGACATTCACATAGTGTAAACTCTACTGGTAAATTGTTTCCTTGCAATGAATGTGGCAAAACATTTGGTTCAAGAAGCTCACAGCAAATACATGTTCGCATTCACACTGGTGAGAGACCGTATGGTTGTCGATTTTGTTGGAAAGCCTTTGCAGATGGAGGTACACTACGTAAACATGAACGTATACATACAGGGGAAAAACCATATGCTTGTTCAGTTTGTCCCCGTGCATTCAATCAACGTGTAGTGCTGCGAGAGCATATACGTTCACATCATTCTGGTTTAGATACGAAACGTGGTGTATATTTTTGCACTGTGTGCAGTGAGCAATTACCTTCATCTGGTGATTTGATGCAGCATCTAATTGAGCACAGTGATAAAAACACTGCCATGCAACGGCAACCAATTGTAAGTAAAAATATTATAGATGTAAAATAAATGTATGTTTAATCCTTTAATATCATCCATTGAAGGTTGGACCCCGAAAGTACAAAAGACGTAGAAAGTTGAAGCCACATGAATTGGAACACATGCGTGAAAAATCTTTCAATGAAAGCGATATTGATATATCGGATATAGACATGGATAATATGCAAGACATACTAAACATAAATGAATCTGAGACCAGTAAATCCTGTAATGCTAAAAAATTTAAATATAGTAAAAGCAACAGTTCAACTATAAGCAGTAATTTACAAGATGCACCTGGAAGTGCAAATAAAAAAGATAACATAGATATAAATGAAAGGAAAGTACGAAAACGCAACAGTTCTGTTAGCAGCTCGGATAAAAATTGGCAAACAAAATTGATCAATTCCACCACTAAATCTGAAGCTTATAAATCAATGCTGTCCAATGTTGAAAATACTTTGCAAACTATTGATACGCTTGTTGTGGATTATGATAAGGCTAATAGTGACACTTCAGACGAAGAATTTAGATTGAAATTGCCTAATAAAAGAACAAATTCATCAGAATGTATAGCACAACGTACACAGCAAGTCAAGTTTGACAAGGGCGGAAATAAATACGGAAATGATACAGTGTTAACAACTCCAAATAAAACAAGGAATCGTAAAAGAACAGAAAAAGTTTCAAAAAATATAAGACCAAAAATGATACATACCGAAAAGCAACGTGTAAACAAAGCCGATAATCATAAAAAGCGTGCAAAAACTTTTATAACACGTACAGATACAAATAAAACTAATAAGACCAATGTAGAAATGCAAGACGAATTATATATATTGTCAAATAATATTGAACCGCTAAATCAAATCAATCCAAGTGCTATAGTCATAAAAGAGGAACGCCAAACTGATAAGTCTGAACATTATGCAGAACAATATGTGTGTCCAGATCAAATACAACAATCTTCTCGTAATTTATATGATGCACAACTTTTATTAGAAGCTGCTGCGCTGCGTAAAGATGTTTATGAAAAATTCAATCCAAGCGTTGTAAATGACTTGGAGGATATATTGCGTTCACCTCTGAAGTCAGAAAGAACAGAAAGGCAACGATTCACAAGTGAATCATCAACACACTACCTTGCAGATCAAACAGAACTACATTTACAAAATTATATTAAAATAGAAACATCATCACCCGAATTGCGTGACATGTATCCCAGCAGTAGTAGCGGTAGTGTTAGTGTTGCAAATGATATGCAACATCACAGTAAAGGCGAACGCCGCTCAACTCGTAGCCGTTTAACTACCGTAAATCGCAAATTTTTAGATTTTGAAACGGAATTACTTAATAAACCTAGTAGTTCATCCCAGAAGCGTGAGGTCACTCAAAATAAAAACAAACCTATAAAAAGCCAAAGAGAGAAGCTCAATTCAACACAAAATTCTTTTCTTGATTATAATAATTATAATAATTTAAATACAAGCTCATCTAGTAACTCAACCTATTCGCCGATGTCTGCTGTTATAAACAGTATTAACCAAACTACAGAAACAACGCCAACAAAAATCGAACAGAAAAGATTCTTCGAGTGTGAAATGTGCTCACTAGTTTTTAGTGATCGTGCGCAGCTACTAGGACATGTGCCTATACATATTTAGTTGAAGAACTAAAAAAATTATTCACTAAAATATATTTCATTTTTTATTCTAAGTATATATATGGTATATATATATAATTAGTTAATATATTTGAAATTTCTTTATAATCAATTTAAATTGTTTATTTAAACTTAACATTAGTTGCGTTTCGGCAAGTACTGATCTAATCAACCAGATATTGAGTTGCTCCACATTGTGGTGCAATGTGGAATATATGCGTTAAATATAAGTGGAATGTTATTAATGATAAAAGCGATTGCCCATACAACTTTTTCATTTGATTTTACATTTAGTCGTCGACGTCGACGTCGACGATTGGGACCATTGATTGGGCCCGGCCGTTATTGGTGCCATACAATGCAATAAGTTTATAAAGCAAGCAATCAATGAAAATGTGCAGTCATATCACAAAACATAAATTAAATCCAATCAACAAATATTTCGCATAAAAATAAATTCAATATAATTGCTCAATATCTGTTTTAGCTGTAATAAGATTTTTGCTATGCTTCCATCAAAAAACTAAAACTTAATTGGTTCGTACGTTTCTCCTCTATTTTCACTTCGGCACGATTTTTAATCGAATGCATTGTTTTCTATAAGTTAAAACGCATCAGCTGATTTCTTACAGTCTTTAAAAGTTAAAAGAACATTTGATGAATAAATACACAGCAGGCAAATATGATGCATCTCCAATTATATTCACTTGAAACAGATTGATAGATCAGTGGTGCTAAAACGCAGTAGTTTTATTAATCTTAATCTATTAAATAGTAAGTTTTTTTTAAGTAATTTTCTTTTAAATGCAGTACGTTTTGAAACTGCTCTTAAGTTCTTAATAGCAATATTTCTTATTAATTTGAAAAATGTAACTTTATACTATAGTGTGTTAAATGTTTGACTTTTATATAAATTTTGGATTAATTTTCTTCACGTATTTTTAATTGTTTTATTATTTTTAAATTTTTTTCTTTGCTTTAAGTATTTATTTTCATTTTTGTCTAATTTAATTTTTTCTAATTTTTCCCTTTTTCATATTTTTTTTCTAATTTTAAAAAATATATAATTTAATTCAAATTTAAATTTTTTCACGTTTTAGTTTTTTACTGTTTTTAATTTTTTTTTAAATTTTAATTTTTTAATTTTTTTTAAATTTTATTTTTTTTTTAAATTTTATTTTTTTTTTAAATTTTATTTTTTTTTTAAATTTTATTTTTTTTTTAAATTTTAATTTTTTTTTTAAATTTTAATTGTTTTTTAAATTTTAATTTTTTTTTATATATATTTCAATTGTTCTCTGCTTTTTCTTTTTTTTTGAATTTTATTCTAATATTGAAAAATATCACATTTTTATAAATTTTTTTTCACATTTTAGTTTATATTTTTGTTTCCCTTTTTTTTTTATTTTTTATAATTTTTTTTTCTCTATTCTTTTTATATATATTTTATTTATTTCCTTATTATTATTATTATATTTTTTTAATTTTTTTATTTTATTTGATATGCATTATTATTTGATATTTTATTTTGTATACAATTTTATTTTTATATTAATTTGTATAACTAAATAATAGCGGTTACTTTAAAACTTAAAAGATCTCTTCTTTGAGTTAAATTTTTAAGTTGTTTACTGAATATAAATTTAAATATGTACAAAACTGATATAAATCGGTTAAAAATGAGTAAAATATATTACAACAATATGTAATAATTATTAAAATTTTAGTATACCATTGTGCATTACAAATACCTTGTAAAAAATTATGAATAACTATATATAGTGACTTATATAATATATGTATTTCTTTCATTTATTTCAGCGATTTATTACAATAATTACTTTGAATATATTTTCAAAAACTTATTTATGATAATTTTGAATGACTTTAACATAAAGATATAATAATAGCCATTTAAGTATTTAATAAATAGTAAATAGTAAATGAGATTGAGAAACTATATATTAAACTAACAATGATCATAAACTGTAATTTCACTTTTTTTTTGTTATTGTTAATAAACACTATAAATAAATAACCTGAAAATAAATTTTAAATTATTTTTTTATGAAATATATATTTGCATATATAGTAAATTATTTTTTAATGACAATATATTATTCGTCGTAGTTCGTATAAATTTAATTTTAATTTGAATAAAGCACAATTAGTTATTCTAAAATTTATAAATCATTTTATATTATTTTATTATATATGAATACATAAAGTATCTTTTTTGTAAAATAAATATTATGTAAATATCACGAATTACATTTATAAAAAGTGCTTTTTGAATGTTGTGTAAAAACATTTTATATAAAAGAATAAAAAATAGCTAATCCTCCATTAATGTTACTGTAATATTGCCAAAAGATTTTTATAAAAGTGCTGCCAAACATTATCATTAACATGCTTTATTTATGTACTATTTTAGTATCAGTTTAAATAGCTATTGTTTAAGTACAAATATTGTAACAAATACACGCTTAACACTTAAGTTGTGTTTAGATCGTATTAAGCACATTTATATAAGATTATTTTTATAATGAAAAATATAATTTTTTTTCTTAGAAATTAACTTGAAATAAAAAATGTTACAAAACTTTTTTTTATTAAAATTAATTAGAAATATTGATTGCCATTAAAGATTTTATTAAGAAGATAAAATTATAGTTCGAAAATACATAAAAAATCTTTGAACAACTTTTGTCTGTTCGAGAGGGTGTCCGGTCAAAAGTAGTCATGTCTACCCAAAGGATTTATCCGCTCAACAGGGCGGTTATAATTGTTTCACTGATGAATAATTAGTTGTAATGAATAATTGTTGTTGTTGTTGTAACCCGCCGCCGGGCCCTGAAAGCAGATAACATGAAAGGATTACAAGACGAATATATGGGATAAGGAATGGAAAAGGTGGGAGTGAGTGTTGGGATGAGGGAAGGGGGAGAGAAGGGGGAGGGGTGAGAATAATTTGAATCTAACCAGAATCCAGTCGAGAAACCAAAGGGACTTCACAAGTAATGAATAATTAGTATTTAAATATTAAATATAAATACTTGTAATTTTTTTTTGTTTATAAACAACTGTAACCACTATCCAATAGTAGGTTCCAAGAACGGTAGGGTCTACGTCCCGGAGCCATTCGTCACCAACGACGACCAAACACCATTCAACATTCCCAAAGAGACTTCACAAGCAGGTTCCTGCGGGTTACAACAACAACAACAACAACAATCAAGTAGTTACAAGTATTAATTCAACGCACGCTATTTCTGCCATGTCTTGAAGCATTTTGTGTTTTAAAGAGTGATTTCGATTTAAATCTTTTCCATCACTATTGTAAAAGTACAAATAGAATCTCGGGTCCATAGAAAAATAGTCAATAATTTGATTAAACTCTAAAATTGGTTTTGCATCTTATGATGACAATTCATTCATAACTTAAGTATGACTTAAGTAACATATATAACTTAAGTTCGACTTAAGTAGGCTTTTGAATCATAGCGTAATATTGAATCATATGATTAATGCTTAAGTGATCCATGCTGGGGATTTTAATCAGTATTAAAACTTAACCTAACGGCCAATAGTAATTAACACTCATTTCCGAAATGTCTGTTGTTGCAGTAGTTATGGTAGTTCCGTTGGTTTTCTCTGAAGGAGCGGCAAGGCAAGTCCCGGAGCCACTCGTCATCGACATTCATAATTCTTTCGCAATTTCCGAATTATTTACTTCATTCGTAGTGTTCAAAAATACTTGGTTTATTAAATGAATACCAAAAATGCATAAACTGCAAGGAAGACGAAAGGGGGAGAAATAAATAATTGGACACTTTCTGTGTATATGCCCAGGTGTGCAAAGACTGACTTTCCATTATGAAAATTCAAGATTTTAGGAGTCTGATGGGCATCTAAAACATCCGGAAAATAAATTTTTTTAACAACAGCGAAGATTGCTTTTAAAACTGATATTTTTATAATCGGGTTTGTGGTATCAAAATAGCTTCTATGTACTACTCGGAGAGAAGAGTTACCTCTGATAGCACTGGAAGCAACCGACCATTAAATAAATTGGTCGCTATGGGAGTCTATGCTTACCGCAATTAAAAGTAATGCAGTTGCATTGGTGAGCAAACATACCATACAACTAATTTTTGGTAACGACCCGACTAATTTAGAAGGATATAGTTACGTTGATGAGCAACGATCCGAAGTTCCGGTAAGTCCTCAGCAATATAGGAACGAATAAAGTAGTTTTCAAAATTCTACACTGGACATATAAGCAGTGTTTGAAATAGTTTCTAATTCTCAAAAATAATTGCTTCACATGATTTCTGTTGATGAGAAGCATACTTCGTTGAGGCGTTTATTATGAATTCTCACTGTAACACCCATTTCCTGTCCCAGAGTAAACTTGAGCATTGATACATGTGACTGCAAGCTGTAATCCGGACTGTGACTTCAGTCTGTGACCTTAAACAATCCCAATCTATTGAGATGGTAGCACAGACCGAACGAAGTCTGTTGTCAGGCGAAGTCTAGTTGTCAACAACTATAGCTCTCTGCTGTTGGGAATATGTACAACTATTTGGGAAAATAAATAAAAATAAATAAGTTAGATTGTACATTTGTTTCTTAAATTGGAATTTTAAGTTTGGTATTATTTACAGGTTTGAATGATACAGCTTCGTATATTTCACTGTACAGCAAAAAAATTGGATTAGGTATGTGTATTATATGTTCTAGAAATCAAAAGTATTATTAGGATTAATATACTATAATCACTTAAGCAAGTTTTTATGAAAGTTTGATTTAACAAAAAGCTTATTTAAATTTTTTAAGGGGATTTCCAGTAGAAATCAATAAATTCAATTCTGAATAAATTTATAAAATACTCGTTTATAATTATTAAGAAGAAACTAAATCATATTAATTATAAGTGTGTATAGCTATTTAGTATATAATAAAATTATTCATTTTTTTTTAATATTATTTTTAAAACTTTATTTTTATTATCTGCTAATGAAAGTTTAAATTTAATTAAATAATTATTTATTTTCACATTTTAAAAACTTCGTCTCAACTTCTTGTACTCATATTTCATATCTTTTAATTTAGTTCAAATGTTGAAGACCAATATATCGGAAATATATTTACCTCTAAGTTACATTTATTAAAATATATATTTTCAAAAATCAACATCTGTGCAATTAAATTTAATTCTGCTTATCATAAATTTAGCTTTAGTATAGAAATAAAGATTAAGTGTAAAAATACTGCATATTGACCTTAATAATTCAAAAAATTTTAATAGAAAAAAATATTCCATAATATTTTCGTAATTTAATTACATTTCTCAACATATTCAAAAAATTTTCCAATTGATAAGAAACATTCAACATTCTTTGCTCATTTTGACAAAAAAAAAAGAGATAAGCTCAAGATTAATGGTGAGAATAAATTATAATGTAAAAATGTATTATAATATAGTTTAGCATAGGACGAAAGTAAAAGTACTTGAAATCCATTGTGGTACATCCCACTCTGATGTTAAGAAGATATCAACTAATCAACTCGACTTTGGTCTTTCAATAGATATTTTTTTTCATACTCATTGTGGATCTAATCTAAATTTATTGTGGGTTCAAGACTCTACATGTTATTTTGTTGTGGGCATTCACTATATATGCTCCATCAGAATAATCTATTAAAAATTTATTCAAATGAAGAGTTTAGATTTTGCATAAAGTTAATAGAGCTTAGAGTAATTCGAGATAGTTAGTTAGTTGTGGTGGAAGGAGGACGAGTCCTCCTCAATTAGCTAAAGAAAAAGCCGTTTTGAACCCACAAAAAACCTCGTGATAGTGGGTAGTAGATAGTGGGTCAAACTAGAACCAGCGAGAGGCATTAACAAAGGCATGAA